GGATCCACGCCGCTCTCCTGCCCCAGCTACTGGCCAGAGCCCCTGCAATAATCTGGTCACGGAGCAGGATCCAAGCAAAGTCCCCATCCCCTCCTCCCTCCAGTCCAGATCCTAATTAAACCAAACTTCTGGGCATTACCCTGCAATTTAAACCATGAGAAATCAAGGGCTCACCTACCAAAGAGCTGTCCAAAAGGGTGTTGAGTTTTTTTCTCATCCAAAGAGATTTTTAGGTGAGGGTTTGTGTCAGGACCTGAGACGGATTTGGGCACCTCCAGCCCAGTGGGGTCTCGGATGCTGGGGGGGGGTGTGGAACTCCCCAAGACTAGAGGCAGTTTCGATGGGCAGTTCAAATTCCTTCTGAAACAGGGTCTAGATGTGAGGGAGGGCTCCAACAAAAGCAAAATATAATCTGACAACTACTCAAAAGAAACTTAACTGGAGTTTTAAACCTTATAGCGAGGGGACACATGGTCCCACAGGGGTAGAGGATCTATCTAACAGGGGAGAAGTCATACAAACTGTCAAAAAAAGGCTGGACTCAACATCGGTACACTCAGTAGGAAACCATGAGTAACTGTTTAGTAACAACTAAACCCTACTTTAATCTGGAAACATAACAGTAGGCCAGAGCAAGTATGTCCTGTGGCAGAAGAGCTAAATGACTCATGTACTCCAGTGGTTACTATGGAGTTGTTTACACATTACTTGTGATTGAAAAAAAAAAAAAAAAGAGAAAAAAAATTCTAAAGAACTCGCCCAAAATGAACTAAATAGGAGGTTTGCGCAAGCTGGCAACACGAAGGGGAATAACTCAGCAGGCCAAGGAGGTTTCCAGGAGGAGTCCAAAGGACTCAGGGATGAATCCACTGAGCCACTAGTCCCGGGACAAACCGACTGCTTGTCCTGCTGCCAGGTGGATGGAGGGTGGTAAGTGTGATTCTGGGGTTTGGGGGTTTTTTTGAGGGCTCTGGGAGGAATATGAGGAATAACAGACCAGAAAATCCAACTCCTACATTGACCAAACTGCTCAGACTTCTAAAGACCAGGATTCAGAGAGATAAGAAATAGCTGAAGAGCATCAATGTGGCTTTTGCTGAGGCAAGTCCCACCTGGCAAATAGTGAAGCTCTTTGAAATGTGTAGCAAGCAGCTGGGGGATGAGATGATCTGGCATTAACAGCCATTAAGTGGATAATTTATAAAGGAGTACTTTGTGAAAGAATCCAAAACAAAGGACATGTTAATCGGTGGAGCTCTCTGCTGCAGGACGACACGGATACCAAGTCTGCATTGTCTCAGAAAGGAATCAGCCAAGTTAATGTCAGCAAAATCCACCAAGTGGCAGAGGGAGCCACAAACCTGTGGAAGGACAAAAGGTATTCCTGGAAGCGTGGCTGTATGATTGTGATTTCCATCTAGTCTTTGCTAGGCACACGGAATTAGCTACTGCTCGAGACAAACCTGGGGTTTGATGGGTTCGGTCTGACCCAGAGAGCCGTTTGCGCAGCTTCGAGACCCAGCCGGGAGCACTCCACCAAGTGGCAGAGGGAGCCACAAACCTGTGGAAGGACAAAAGGTATTCCTGGAAGCGTGGCTGTATGATTGTGATTTCCATCTAGTCTTTGCTAGGCACACGGAATTAGCTACTGCTCGAGACAAACCTGGGGTTTGATGGGTTCGGTCTGACCCAGAGAGCCGTTTGCGCAGCTTCGAGACCCAGCCGGGAGCACCCGTACCTGCTGCAAGCCGAGGAAGAGTCCCAAGGC